CTTCAAAATGATAACGAATGAGTTGCTAAAGCGAGTGCTTTGCCCCTAAGAGATACGCCAATGGCACGGATAAAACATCCTAAATAGGAAATTTGGTTTTTCATCACAATTTATGGAATCATTTTCGATTACAAGAAAATCTTTGTGCTGATTCTGGTCAGTACTAATTCAAAGAGGTGCAGAATGGTAATGGTGGCGACAAAGATATCCAAGATTCTTCAACGTGCCCTAAACATGTAGCTCGCAAGCCTAAAGAAACCTGTAGAGATGACACAATGAAAAAGGATTCATGCAATTTTAGAAGTGGGGGAAAAATTCCAGCTGTACAATCCACAGAATCAGATAGAAATCAAAATCCCAATCTAAACATGGACTGAACCATGGATTCAACAACAGGCTACAGAGGTGAAAGGCGAGGTAAAGAACCACCATACACCAACCTGATTCCCCGTTCATTATCAGCTTCTGAAATGATGAAGGGTCGACGACAATTTGTCCAAACAAGCGAATGCCTTCTGAGACAGTTCGGTGCCACCTTCAATGCTATAAGGTGTAACTGGGGGCATGGAAGTCACGATAAATCTTTCGGGGGGGGGGAAACGACCCAAGGCACTTGTCAGCTAAGAACTTAAAAATAATTAAAAGTGGAAGGTCGGTTTGAGGCTTCTTCTCAAGCAAATTGGTGATTGGCATCTCTTCTCATGTCAGTCAAAAAGTCTTTCGCTTCTCTGCTTACACATTCTTCATTTTAAAATATTCCTTGGGATGGGAGGGGTACAAGCGCCCCTGGTCTTGTCACAACGTCCATATCCAGGGACGTACTTTTAGAATAAGAAAGTGAAAGTGTCAGAATTAATCGAAAAAGACGTAAAACGCCCAACGGCAAGTGGAAATTAAGAATCAGATGCGACATCAATATTCTCGATTTTTATTTTTAGCTCGAAAATGCTTCCTCACTGAAGCCTGTCCAATACATAAAGGAATAATACTAGCATGTCGTTTTCCTTTGTTGGAAATAACGAGCGACGGTGCAGCAGTCATATTTAATTCAGGATCTGTATACGCATTCATTACCTGTTTCCACCTTCAGCAGTTTATTCCAAATGATGTGTTCTCACTCTGTAAATTACATATTCCTAAAAGTCACCAATCAATCATTTCGTTTGAGGCCAAATTTCCGCCCAAATTTCATCGCACTGAACAAAAGACATACCCCTGGTCATTTGTGCCAAGGACGGGATTTTTTTACGAGGACCAAAGGAAGGTAATTAGTAGGCCTAACGGTCCATAAAATAAAATACAGGTACTAAAACTGTCTAGACTAGAAATATTGTTTAATTGATAAGATAGTTCAAGAACGCTGAAGTCAATATTTATACTATCATCCATACTTCTAGTTAATTATGGGCAGCTTTTTGGTTAAATTTTAAAGTTTGCATAAAATTCACATTTCAAGTGGACTAGGTCACTGCAAGTGTGTTTAGTTGATGTTCGTCTTCTGTGTCTTGCTTCTTATAGAAACATGTACAATTCAGAGAGGACTGATGGTTTATATTTGTTGGATCCAGAGTTGCGTCTAAAGTGAGTTCATTGAACGAGAGTAGATTGCTTATCGGTACACTGTACGGTCCGCTGCCGTTAGACAGATTCTTGAGCTAGTAAACTAGTTTCAATTCAAAAAAGAAAATAAAAAGAAAGTTCCAGTTGACGCTAATTTAATTTTTGTTCAATAATATTGCACGGAAACCTTCTTAATTAAGTAATTAATACATTTAGCTGTAAATTAACACTCACCTAAATGTTCTATAGAACGAGGGATATTTGTCTTGTTCCTGTAAAATAAAAGGTATTCCCTCATTTTCTGTGAATGTACACATGAAGGAAAAGCATAATGCGAGTTGCGAAGTGAGGGATCTGACTTCATTTACTTTCCACATCCCCTTAGGGGCTGTTTCTCCCCAATACAGTGCCAGACTTTGTTGAGAGTTTGCATTATTTTGATGTTTACACATGAACTGTTCAAAGTCTCTTGTAACTTGGAGGGTTTGTATGCAGAATTGACCCAAGTTATCGCAACACTAACATTTTGTATGCCATGATATTAAGGTGGAAAGCTTGCAGTAGCACCATGCAAGGATACGACCTCTCTCTTTTTTTTTTTAGTCTGTATGGCTCTGAAAAGAACCGTGAGGAACTTAACGTTTCGGACAGTATTCTCTGCCCGTCGTCAGGAGACTGAAGAGATGCCGATATAGAGTCGGGCTTATAAGCTGATTGGGAGTACTGGAGTGTGACTGATCCTACTGTGTAGTCAGGTAGAACGAGGATGCAGCTGGTGGATCTACCTGGGTACTGATGCATGGCAGTTGGTCATGGGCTGTGGTGGGGGAAGGTTGCCTGGGTATAGGAGACCCATGGGGGGGCCTAGGGTATGGAGGACCCATCGGACCATGCTTCCAGATGACGAAAGTGTCATCCACATACCAGAGCCAGATCTGGGGGCGGTGGTCTGCTGTAGCGATGGCGGTCTCCTCAAACTCTTCCATGAATATGTCAGCCAGAACCAGGGACATAGGGGATCCCATGGAGGTTCCACTGTTTGTTCATAGAATTTGTCCCGCCACTGGAAGCTGGCGGAATCGACGCAGGTGGTGAGGAGGTCTTGAAGCTGGTTGGGGGTGAGGTCGGTGCGGTCCTTGTGGCTGGTGTCGGCCTGGAGTCGGTCACTTGCTATAGTGGTTGCGTCGGAGGTGGGAACGCAGGTGAAGAGTGACACGACATCAAAGCTGACCGTGATGTCGCCTGGCTGCAGCCGGAGGTCTTGGATGATGAATGAAAATTCATCTGACTTCTTGATATGATGCTAAGTGTTATCAACTAGAGGGCGAAGGATCTTGGCCAGGTGTCTTGCAGTGTTGTAGGTGGGCCCTCCTCTAGAAACGACGATGGGGCGTATTGGGGTTTCCTTCTTGTGTATCTTGGGCTCACCAATTGGGCTTGAGCTTAGTTACCAATCGGTAACCTGAAATCGGGGTTTGAAGTCAGCGGTGAGGAGAGTCGACGTTTCAAGTTCTTCCATGAAGATGTTAGCTAGGACCGGGGATATAGGGGATCCATGAAGGTCCCAGCTGTCCATACCTTTGTCGACATACTTGTCACATTTTTCATCCCACATCTCCCTATTTGTTTCTCTGGCTTCAGCCAACCAGTTTTGTGTAGGCGACATTGTCTTCCAATACTGAACTACTATTTTTTATCTTCATCTGAGGTTTCGTCATCAACCTCCTCAACAGATTCCAAATCATCGTCAACTTCAATCATTTTCGATTCCTCTTCAGCATGGGTGAAGATCAAGCCAGGAAAAAGGCAAACAGAAAGACCCTCTAGCTGGGCGGTCAAGCAAGCAACTCTAAGGGGTTTCTGTGAAATGTCCTACATTTGATGGATAATGAAACCCACAAGGACATTCTGGACGATCTCAGAGAAAAACTTGATAAAGACATGGAAGTCAGCAGAGCCTTGAATCTGCTCCGAGCGGAACAAACGAGGGTGTATTTTTTAGGTACTCGCCACATAGGCGCGCCATGAGGTGCGCAAGTATATGCGCCTTTGACGCAGAGCACGCTGGGTATACACCTAACTAATTTAATCCTGCGTGTATGGTCTTCGCGTACACGCAGGTGCGTGCAAGAACCCGCTTGTCTTTCTTCTCACTGATTGAGGGTGCACTTCAGCTAGGGGCGGATAGGGTTATGCCTAAGCATTCTGATAAATTGACGGACTGTTTTAGCTAAAAGACGGAAAGGAGACATATGGTTCCAAAAGGAAATCAGTACATGTAGTGCCTCTGATGTAAAATTTAACAAATTTCTGGTAATCACTCCTGCAGTAATTCGTAATGATGATGTAATGATGTAACATGAGCAATGATGAAAAAGGTAAATATAAACAGTGCTGGAACCAGTAAGTGAAGTCTATTGAATTTGGTTTGCTTTTTTACTGGCCCGTATGACTATCAAGTAGAAATTCTCGGGTCGGGAAACCCCTGCACGTTATTCCACAGAAGGAATGGTAAGTTTACCCCTTTTGCTACGTGTGAAAAATGCGAACTGACGTCATGCCGCCCACGAGAATACATAATTTTACAAAATGATGTGCCTGTTTTACATTTGCTCCTCAATAAAGATCAAGAGTAACGTTCCGCTGTTTGAATTTGTAAAAACCGTATACATTTACAGGTTACCGGGCCGTAAAACACTAGTTCAAAAGAATGATTAAGAAATACAACCAAGGTCAGCAGGGCTTTCTTCCTGTATCGATCACATTATCTCCGTAACCATAGTAAGCCGAACGCAAGACCGTTAGAATGTATCTGCCAGCCCTCTCTCGGTTACGGTGTCCAAGGATTAAGTCAGACCGAAGCTCACTCCGGAGTACACACCAGCCACCACACAGCACCGCCTGCAGCCTTTTGTCTGAAAGACTATCCCCATTACCGGTACCCGGCGTCGAGCTCAGTCCTTTGTTGCGAAGATTATTATCATCCGGCGCCGACGGATTTAATTATTAATATTAAATTAATATTTAATGATTAACTAAATATTAATTTGATTTATCATCAAATTGCATCATGTTGTGCAACCTTCCTCATAGAAAAGGTCAAACGGTGCCACAAATTCATATATTTCTTTTCAAAAGATTTCCCTTACAAAGGACAATCTGTGCAAAAGTTGTTATCCCTTTATCTTCATACATTTTCACGGGTAGTGCAAATCCCAAAAAAGAATTCTTATGCATATTTATGTGACCTTTTCATTTTTCCGTAGCAAAAGTCAAATTGTGCTAGTCTTTTTTAACCCTATTCTACTTTCAATGTGAATCATTCCTTTGAAGATCACTTATTGATCAAACTACAAAAACTGATCATGCAAAAAAGGGTTTATACCGTTAGAGGGTTCATGCTTCAATTCCTAAAGAATAGTTATATTTTTCTACTCCAGACTGCCAGAAAATCAACCTGACCATCTTTTGCTTGAACGACACGATCTGTGCAAACTGTTCCACCGAGGCTTTTTACAACTGCAGCTTCGCAAACTGTCCATACAACGTGTCAATCCAGTGGAATATTCACCCATCGCATCGTGACGTTGGTAGCACCTTAGAGAATGAAACTTTGGAAGGGCCACTGGAGCTTCTAATCTCGAACTTTAGCACGTTTGATTTCGAGAACGGAAATCTTGGCTGTTTCGCAAATTCTTCTGCATATCGCGTTCTTTCTGAAAGTATTCCATTACAAGGTATACAGACAAGCTTGGAATCTGCAGTACTTGAGATGCATTGTCTTGTACCTGTGCATAGAAATATAGGTCCAGACAAAAATGCACAATTATAAAGAACACATTCGGCAAGTTGCTTTGCGATCTTGTTGCACTGAGTGTACATATCGCATAATTTCCTCTTATCAGAAACTGTAGTTTTCCGCCTAAAATCCATATTCCTTTATTAATCATTTGCTTTCCTCTTGGTCTTCATAAACATTACAGACATTAATCGATAAGCTCTTGCAATAATGACCCTTCACAAAATGGCTTAATAAATCAGAAACCTTCATCTTTTCTTTTAGGGCTTTGTCAGGATAGACACAGATACCACCAAGCTTCAGCAAAGCACAATTCATTAAAATACACCGTGGATATTCCAAGAACGTACGACATAGAAGGTGAATCAGCTATTGCGAAGATGCTATTCCAGAACATTTCAAACAAATTCTCATTGTCAGAATACATGCACATGGAACTTTAATAAAACTCTCTATCGAATAGAAAATTGTCATCAAGTGCCTTATGACCTTAGTACTTATGACTGAAATTAACAATTCTAGTATTTGTATTTTGAACCCGCCCTCAAAAAAAAATTAAATAAATAAACCAAGCGTGACACTCCCCCGACGCTTCAAGTAAAGTCAGGAGGCAAGATTTTCACGTCTGTGCAGCCTCTTAATTTTGCTTCATTTAACAAAATCCTTGGTTTTGATTTTAATATCCACTGTTAATATTTAGGTTTATGTTGATAATTTACAGTCTTCTGTTAGGTCTTTTATTACCGGAAAATATGCCACACGTTTTCTTTTCATAGGTGGCGTGCATCTGAGGGTCTTTCCCAGAGACCCATCACTGCCCAAATTGAAGGAATCTCTCTCAGGTGCAAGAGTAACTAAGTTCGGAAGTGACATTCTTGAGGTGAAGGTTCAAACTAAACAGGGCGAGCCTTTGACTGACTTTCCGGATGAGCCCGTCCTGCTCACATTTCCTGTTGATCCAGGAAGTTAACCCTTTTTCCATCATAAGGTTTTGCAGTGTACTTAAAGGTCGAACGTACTGCTCGTTTATACTCCTTTAGGTGTAATCCAAGTTAGATCAACCCATCTACAACAGTTCTTGTTATTTCATGGATTAATGACCAGTTCTTGTATGGCTGTCTCTCCAAATGCAAACCCCTCTGCATGCACTGATTAATTTAATATAAATTTCACTGCAATTCTGTTTAATCCGTCGTTTTTTTTCCCCTTCCTTTGTACTTGATTAAAATGTTTCTGTTATGAACCAATCATCCTACATTTCCTCTTCAGTATGACCCCAGCAAGGAAAAACCCCTGTGCTGCTTTAGAGAGGAATTGGGGTAAGTGAAGTAACAGTCTTTGAAATCACATCATTAGACATTGCTGAGGTAGACTGCGCCCGCTGAGTGTATAGTGACCTATAGTGGGTATTAATTTAAATACCAACAAACACAACATCTACCAAAACCAAACTTTTTCATGCGTTCCATTTAGCGAAAACACAGCCGACAGTAGGTACCTTACTCATGCTTCTGCCGTGCATGGTGCTTTACCGTAAATTAGATTTATTGTTTGTAAACAGCACTCAAAATACAATTGGCTATGGGAGTGACATCCACTATAGGTCACGTGATTTAGTGGGCGCAATCGATCTGTCATAAGACCCCAGGGGGCGGGAAAATGAAAAAGACTGTCTGTGTTAGTATGCCAGTATGGAGGCAGGGAGCTATTGTTTCTCGTGGATGTTAGTGTTTTTGCGTGGTAACCAACATCCTTCGCATGCTGTTTGGTTAAATAGCGCCCTAACTTCAACAAAGCGATCAGTACTTGTTTTGTGGTCCCAGTCGCAGACATTAACTTTGGACGAGTGAATGTTCGTCGCTACTGTGTCAGACCGCACACTGGGCCATCATTTTTCGTCTATCTTGACAAAACAACAAAAGAAAGGCTGCCAAGAAGTGTACTGGCACTGCAGTATCGAACTTTGAAGAAATAGAGAGATTATTATTGGCGACATGGTCAGACAAATATTAAAAGAAAAGGGAGTCGCGTGATAATTTCATAGTTTATCCCAAAGATTAAAGAACCCATGTAAAACCAATTGCAGTGTTGACTGAGCGGGATTGGAAGTCTGACTACCTAATCGGTATGAGTTTTCGTTTTCCAGGATAGATCTTATCATTAGCTCTTTGGCCTTGTTTTCTTTCAAGCTATTGGTCCACACATGGCTGCAACACTAACATCAAGAGTAGTGACACCGTGCAATGTAGCTGTAATCATCTCACAAGTTTTGCCATATTGATGCAGACTTCAGAGGTGAGGTTAGCTTTGTCCAAAATATGGCTGCCTCTGCCTGCAACATATACGCTGTTTGTACAGGGGAGAGCAGCTGCTTTCATAGCAGTGTGTTATAGCCGGTCGTATGGTCAACTAATAGATCCAAAATAATTAAAACATAGTCCTATCAAATGTTCTGGTCAGATATCTTTTGAAACTTGCTACCTCAAACTCCCCTCCCTACATTACAAATTCAAGCGACATGCAGTAAATAGCCAAAGCAGTGTCGAACCAAGTCATAAATGGACAAGAACAAAAACAACGCACCAACCTGACTAGCAGTTCTCCAGTTTTAACTCTTCAACTTCGTTTATCATTTCAAACAGGTGGACGTGGATGACAGGATTTTGACAATATTGACAAAGATCGGGTTGAGTGTTTCTATCACTTGCCTTATTCTTACGCTGTTAATCTACGCCCTCTGTCGGTGAGTTTTGAAGCGCCACATGATTCGATGTGCATGAACTGTAATAAACTGTAGTTTAAAAGGTCAAGGATGATGTTTGATACAAATATAGCAGTTATTACAAACGTTACTACACGACACAAAATATGGGCGATTCACAAAAATGCGCCTCCAAGTGTTCGCAACGCGTTGGCCAACCACAATTCGCGAAATCCGTCGACCCAATGCGCATCGCATTTGGAAAGGGTCGACAGATGTCACGCGTTGTGAATGGCCAACTCGTTGTAAATTTTTGGAGATGCACTATTTTGCATAGCATCTAGTAAATGACACTTACTGAGGGTGACCAGAAAGTTACATCTATCTGAACGACTGGCAGTTTCTCTTCCAAAAACAATGCTCCAGTCTTTACACGCAGTTTAATTTGACCTTATCTTTATCCTTATGCACTTCGAAACAAGCACCCTCGAATCCCAGTTTGAGGGATCTTTAGTTTTTCTTCCCTCTATTATAATTACTGTGAATTACAATCATGCTGGCAAAGGAGGAATGTTCTAAGGAAAGCTGACAATAGAGACCCTTTAGCGTGGGATTATCTCAGAAACCATGACCAAATTAATTATTAAAAAAAATTATTAAAAATTGTCTCTTTGAAGATTGAAAAGTCTGCGGATTATTATCCACGCTAACCTGGCGTTTGCACTGTTGGTTGGACATACAGTTTTCTTGTTTATTGACACCGAAAACAAGGTAAGTTATTAAATGCTTTTGAAAACGCATTAATAACCGTTGTAAAATAATCCTCAGTTTTTAATTATTCCTGTAGAATGAAAAATCGTTTCGATTTCAGGCCGGCTGTGCGGTGGTTGCTGTGTTGCTACATTTCTTTTTCTTGGCCGCTTTCACCTGGATGGCTTTAGAGGGCGTGTTTCTTCTGATTAAATCCACACCCACATTCCCGTGGAGGATCCGTTTACCGGCATGGTTTGCAGTTGGCTGGGGTAAGGAGGATATACTATTTTGGAGACTCACTAAATTGGGTAAACCGTCCCTAGCTCTCATAAAAGTGGGAAAATGCCCCTATTTTTCTCAGCAAATGTTTCCCTAGGAAGAAAAGCCATGGAATATCGTCAACTCACGTTGCATTTTGAATTGTCTATCCAGGATTTTTTTTTTACATCTAGGAAGGGTGTTCACTGGATTTAAATTTTAAACACAGTGCTTTGAGTTCACAGCACATCGTGTCGGTCTTGGAAATGCAGTTGTATGCAATTGCTTTGAAGTGGTGTCCCTTTCATACTCGCCTATATCACTCTATCAGGAATATTATCCCGTTCATCATTATTCTACAGACTATTGTCAGCGTAATTATACCTCTTGAAGAAAAAATACATTTGCCGATTCACAAGAATGATGCTACCCACTTGTACACCCATTGAAAACAAAACCTTTATTTACTGTTCGTAGGAGTTCCTGCCTCCGTTGTACTGATGTCAATAGCATCGAAGTTTGAGGGATATAATAGCAGGGTTCAGGGGTAAGAACCAGTTTCCTTTTTGGAACAATCTCAGTTACAATGAAACTTATCAAAATTATGAAAGTTATTATTATTATTATGTCTTAGCATTTATTCAATACAACGCATCTTGGAGGGAAGTAAAATTTGTTTTCTATTTCAAATGGTTTCGTGGTGCTCTTTTTGCTTTTACATACCAGCAAGCAAAACTGTTATGTCACCCTGGACAGAAAAAATCATATTGACTTGTGTGATTTTTGCACACAACGTTGAAATTGGGCACATTTTCTTTGTTCTAATTTCAATAAACCAATAAACCAATTGGCTACAATTTGCAGAGAGGTTCCCAGTGAGCAGATATTGCTGTCAAACTTGAAAAGAAAAGAATGTGACCAGTCACAGCCAAACGAAAGTAGTGTCACATCCCGCTCTTTCCTATTTTGAGGGTTCAGAGTCACAATGGGCCGTATGAATACAAAGTAGCATTTGCTTTTACTACCGTTTTTGAAGCATTTAGTCGTGTTTGTATGAATAATAATGAAGCAAATGCTTTTACTTTAGTGTAATTGCTAAAAAGTAAAATTATTTACTTTTTACTCTTTAAGCTTGTGCTTGACAATAAGCAGTTGCTACATTTTGTATGAATAAAAATGAGTAAGCTCTACATAATTGGAGTATTTATTTGACATTTTTCAAGACCGGGTCAGGGCAAGCTTGAAAACGAGAAGCATTTACTAATGTTCAAAATGGCAGCATTCATGAATGTAATTCGGAAGGAAAAGCTATATGCCTTTAGGAGGGAATTTAAAGAAGCCAGATGCAGGCAGTTGTACTGATTTGAGAGTGGCAAAGGGATTTTCTTCATCAAATTTTTTTGCGATCAAAATTACTGCCATTGTGCTTATCTGCCATGCTGAGGTCTCAAGATACAGCATCGTGGTGCACTGGGTGCGTCTGTACGTGCAGACAATGGAAGCCCCATTGTGCAAAACCGTTCGGCTAAGAAGTCAGCCACAAACACAAAGCATTTACTACTATTTGTACAAGCATATGCTGAACAGTAAAAGAAACATTTTATCCCTACAAATTCAAGCAATTGCTTATTCTTAATGCTTTTACTTCTCAGTAAATGCTTTTGCTGTTTGCTTGAAATTTATAGCAATTCCTAATTTTTAGTCATACGACCCTATGAAGTGGAGGTCAATTTTTGCGTTGTATAATATTTGGAAAGAGTAATCCGTCTCCTATTTAATTTCAAATATTTCGCAGAATCATATATTAAAAATTTATTTTTTCAGCAATTTTGATGACAACATCATTTGTGCGTGGTTAGAATAGTTAATACAATGTTGGAAATAAAGACACAAAGCTGCTAGAAGAATGCCACATTGTTCCCATATATCCTTGTACCTTAAGTGTTGCCTGTGCATACCATTGGAAAGCTACCTTTCTGCTAAAATATAAAAAAATACCAATATCTCAATTTTTGAAAAAATTGATCTTCGGCTCATTTTGTGGTGACACGTCACGTATTATGAATTTTGTCGTCCCTTAGTGACGCTGGTCTTAGGGGTCCTGAAAACGCTGACAAATTCAAATGTTGGAAAGGCGCTCTTCGCCAAACATTTAACCCTAAAAGTGATGTCAAGGGTTACGACCATGTAATGGTTTCGATATGATGAAGTATGTAAAGTTGCAAAAAAGCGTTTATGGAAGAAAATCCAACCCTTGGAATCTCTAAATCGAAACGATATCACTTATCCGCCTCGAGCTGAAGCACCCTCTCATCTGTTGAAAAGAGCCGTGCTCGTCGGAAGTGTTGTGATAGTGATTTTTGCGTTTCTTTGTCATTCGTGAACCAGCTAAGTTAAGTTCCAACAACAGGAGTCTCAGTTGCTAAGAAAATAGCCCTCTCTCTTGGCCCAGATTGAGGCCCATACAAATATTTCATGTTGTACCCGATCTCCTGTGGAACCCAAGGACCCGAATTTGTACATTTATCCTGAAATATTTGAAAACTTTAACTATTTGCCTCATATACAATAGGTGCTGGTTGTCCTTCGACAGTGGCTTTGTCTGGGCATTCTTAGCACCAGTTATCGTCATCATCATTGTAAGTGCATATTACGATAAATGAAACTTTGCTGCCCATCAATGAATTAATATGTCACTGCTGCTTAAGTCAACATAACACAACTCATAATGGTATACGGAGACAGTATGGGACAAAAGGATTTGCTAACGCGTTTAGAAAATTTGGCACAACTCTATCCACATTAAAGTTGTTCTTTAAAACAATGCTAAAATAAATAAAAGCGCCCACATCTATCAGCAAAAACAACTCACTTTAAAAGGACATTTACTTTACTTCGTCCCAAGGTGAACACAACAATCCTGACCCGTCTAATCTACATATTTCTGTCCCTGCAAGCTAACAAGAAGAAATCGGAGGCTCAGAAAATGAAGTAAGAAACCCTGTAAAGTTGCCTCTTTGTGACAACGTCTACAAGGGAGATGTTCACTTTACTTACTATAAAGTGAAAAATTGCTCCATACGTTTCACAGATCTGAATACCTTGAATATGGTTTAGTTTATCCAACTTGTATTAGTCTGAGTGGATAGATTGATCTGTTCACTCACATAACTTGTAATTTTATCAAATTATCCTAAATTATTTTAAAAGAAAGGAGTCATTAACATGATAAAAACGAACGAACAAACATGATCTTCATAGATCTCCGTACATTTTAGCTTGACTGCAGGAGGAACGCAAAGAGTATGAATATTTAGGTCCTTGTGAGTCCATCCTAATATAATTGCTGGGCTTCATATGCCCATTACATTATTATTTTGTCACTTACAGGGCAGGTCTCCGTCTTGTCCTGATCTTGGAGCCTTTACTTGGGCTACCATGGCTGAGTGGTCTGTTGTATTCAAGCCCAAACACGACTTTCTTTGCATACGTTTTCGTGATCTGCAACTCACTTCAGGTGGGACTTAAACTCTATTCAGTTTAAATACCATCAGGACGTTGGACATGAAGAGAAAGGTTTATCATTGGGAAGCAATATATAATTCCTATGTTTGAATGGCTTGAAAGAGCGCCAGCAAAATTATTTTAGCATAAACTGCTGTTTATAGCTTGACATTAAAGTTACTCTCAAACCACACGTTTTTAAAGTCCATGAACTGAGACCATCTTTGGATCTACTGTAATCTGGAATCGTGCATATGACTGCCTGAATGATATTACATGTTTTATACTCATATTGCTTGGTTTCCACAGGGGATGTTCTTGTTTGTCACACAGTGTCTCTTTGATGAAGAGGTAAGACATATTATTTATGGCACTATGATATTGCAACCTAACTTGATGGTAGAGGCATATCTATGGTTTGAGTAATGGAAATGAAGGTCCCAGTTTTTATTGATGTAAAAGAATCCTTATGCATTAAGTCGTCACTGTTTTCACGAAGAGACACCAGGGGCCCAACTCATGTTTTTCTTTTTCATATTTCTGTATATTTGGGGCAAAATGAAATAGGCTATGCGATACCTACAACTTGTGCAATCATTGTTTCCCCAAATCTACTGAAAACAGCCAAATCACAATGATCTACCCGGGGCGAATTTCAACGAAAACGCACGTTGCGCTTTTAAAAAGAGGGATTTTTTCTTTCATTAACAGATACAACAATAAAGGCCTTTTTCATGGGCAAACTCGTTTCGACGTTTCCACGAAAAGGCGAATTTTACTGTGGAAATGTATACAAATGTAAAAGTTTTTACAAGAATAGACAAAAGTCGCATGAATTCTAGCGTTTGGACTGCAAGGCAATTTCAATGTCAATTGACGTATATGAATATTAGTTGGCAGTTTTGTTTCATTTAAGATCCCCTTCTTCATGCAGTTGCATAACGTAAGTCAAAGGAATGCTAAATACTGGGAAAATATGTGTTAGAAAAAGAGACCAACTTCAAGTGCAATTTTCTCGAAAAGTCTCACTCCATTTATATAGAAATTCCGTCCCCTTTGTGCAAAGACCAACGAGGTGCTGTGGCACTTTTAAAAAAACATTTGTGCATTTGTATATCCTTAAAAAATCGCAATATGTCCCTCCGTTGGAAAAGTCACTGCTAGGTACTTAAAATGAACCCATGGCCTTAGAATCTTTTGCCCTATCACCGAAACCAATGTTTTATGATATTACTTTACTTTAACAGATCTATTTAAGGCTCCCTTATCTCTGCATAGCAAATACCTCAGCTTCACCTACGTTTCCAATAATGTGTCTCCTACCCACCTCCAATATTTCATAGCTATCAGTGTTTTTCACATTTTATTCCACTCTGCATTCCATTCCTCACTCATCAATTCAGTGATCTTATGTTTTCCATATCCGTCGTGATTTGATTGGTTTCAAATTATAGGCCTATTTATTTTTGATTTTTTCTCATCCTTCACTGCTGGTTTCTAAGCTTCCTTCTTTCATTGTTTTTTGCTGTATTATCTGTAAAATCCCCTCCACTTTTTGTAGTCACTGCAACTTATTACATACCCATGTATAAACTGTTTTTTAAATATCGGTTTTGAAAATACTGGAGCTGTTTGACCTCTGAAGGATAAATTGAGGGAATTCCGTAGTTTTTGGGCCTTGATATCTAACTATTTTAAGAGAGAGATTTGTTCGAGTGAGGGGAATATGAAAATGAGAAGCTTGGAGTGAGAATGGGAAGCCTGATTTCTAGAGAATATGGATGTGATACAGGTAGGAAGTTCATTGCAAGACAACAAATACATAAACATACTAAGTTGGAAAGTGTAAATGTCACTTAATTTCACGATTCTAAATTTAGTGAAGAATGGATTCGTATGAGCATGATCACAGTGAAGCACTCCCCCTTGTAAAAATACTGTAAATCAGATCTGGGAAAATTAGGTGTTGTACAGGGAGAATAAGATGTGCAGTGGAAAAGGGCTTTAAGCCAATTTATCAATATTTCTAGCTACTAGATTACATAAAGAGTCAACATGGGGCATCCGGGATAAGTTCATTAGCTTAGTAAATCCTAGAAATTTAGTGCAATAAGTAACATTAACTTCCCAGAATCAATAAAAATATCTCTATGCAAGTTACTCTGAATATTATTAAATAACAAACAATTAGTCTTTTTTATGTTCAATGAGAGCTTGTTGGATCTAATCCAGTTAGAAACAGACATAAACTCCTGATTCACAGTATTGATTGAATGTCTATGTCTTTGTGACTGTAAAACAGACTAGGTCATCGGCAAAAGGTATAAATGAGAGAATGATTGATAACCTTAACAAAATTGTTGATGTATATTAGGTCCAGAAATAGAGACCCATCAGTATTGCAAGCTTTCGAAAATTCTAGGAAACTATCTAAAGTATGTTAGGAATTATCAACTGCAGTGGTGAGTTTATCAAGTGAAATACAACATGTGTCGTAAATTGCTTTGCATGAACTCCAACTGAAAATTAGAAAGTATATTATGCTTATACGAAAGTTAGTGATATGGGAGTAGACCAGTTTCTCTATAATTTTAGAAATGGACGAAAGAATAGAAATGGGCCGATATTTAATCATCAGGCTGCAGTCTCCACTTTCATAAATTGGTATAGCTTTGGTGATCTTTATGTCTTCAGGAATAATACCCTAACAATTTGAGTAAGCGGTCCAAGCGTTGCTGAAAAAACTCTTTTGACATCAAAGAATTGATTTAATAAAAACCACAATTTTTTATCAACCAAGTTACTCACATTTTTTGTATGGTAACAGCAAAAAAAAAAAAAAGAGTCGGGGATTTTGGTCCGTCATATTGTAATCCATGAAGGAGGAATTGGAATGTGAAATATTACATACCAGTTAGGAAAATAGTAACAAGGTAGCTGTTAAACAGATCTGAGATTAAGGCATATCTATCAGCATCCATCATGGATAATACCTGTTATCTAATGACGCGAAGAACATCTTTTTAAATTTTCTTTATCTTCCTTGAGCAGAGGCACTCATTTTGCTGGTAGCGACGTGCCCATAACGCGTGCATTTCATATTCCTTCGTGAACCAACGAAAGGGTCGATATGTAGGGACCGATAGCTAGCTGCGGTTTAACGTGCGCGATTAGCCCAGCAATTCATGCTGAATATTTACATTTGTGTCAGACCATTTACTTTGCAGCGATAAGCAAATAAAACAAGTATCTATTTAGGTCCTATGCCTCTGTCGATCACAGTAAAGTAATATATTTGCAAAGATTGTCGTCGATAAATCATGTTACGGCGATTTATTTCAAATCATTAGATAAATGAACAATTTATGGTGAAGTTTTTTTCGGTAACGAAGGAGAAAACGCAAAACATACAATGAGCGGGCATCATATTTCACATACACTCGGCAGCGTTCTTCCAGATTCCTTACCTGTTACCGGTCCGTACGTTCGAAGGTCGTCTATAAGACGGCTGGAGACTACGTGCATGCAGGACAGGAACCAGTCTGGACGAAAGGCACCTCCGAGAAAGTACTCTCTCTTGGTCCAGCTCGACGCCCATAGACTTATCAAATTTGACGCCGTAACTGCGGTGGCATCGCACTCACACGCACATTCCTCAGCTTGACGCGCGCGTGCATTTGGACAAAGGACAACAATGCTTTCCACCTCTACTGATGCAGTTTTAAGTCATTTTACTTAGAATTTATAATGTCCTTCAATAACTGATTGACAACTTTAAGTACCACTTATATGTAATACATGTAAAAACGTACAAGCAAGATTCATTTTACCGAAGGAAGAGGATACCGGTCTGCAGTCGGACGTACACTGCACCGGACGCTTAGGAATGTTGAATAAATCTATTATTATATTCAACCTAACAAACTACCGTTTTGCTCAATAGGTACGGAATAAGTTCAAGCTAATGAAATCAAAGAGGTCATCCAAGGTCACCTCCCTAACGTCATCGTCTGGTAACCGGGAGAAGACGTTGAAAGAAACACTCTGTACGTATATTAGTATTTTCAAGTTATTAGGCTCCTGAATCCTTCCCTTCTCAGTCACTACATATTTTGGAGACTGGACATCTTTTTCGGATGAGGAGCATTGAAAAGGCAACAGTGAATTTAATTGAATCTTTGCCTTTCCTCAAACGGGAGACCAGATTTTGGGGGTTTTAATGATAACAATATTAGAATATGCTTTTAGAGAAATGTGCAAGTTTGTAAAAATGATTGTTACCTGTTCATATTTGACTTGAAATACAAATAATGTTTATTATTTAATTAAAAGTCAGTTTTGGCAAAACGTAGCATTTTTTAAACAATTTTTATTACATGAAGTTTTATCGATGATGATATTTTATGTTACTTTATACTGTGAAGATTGGGCATCGCTTTGTATTTGAGGGGGAAAAAATGCACAAAATGTAGGTGGGTCGTGTAATCAACTGCATGGCTTCAGACCCTGACCGTTTTATCGGAAAATACAAATCTAAACCACTAATTCCACTGCTTCGATACACTGTAGCAGAGGAATAACAAAGATATGTCGCTTGACATTTTCCAATCGATTTGCTGATCAGACCCACGATGTCACATTGGTAATGGCCAAATAATTCACTGGACACAATATAAGCACTATGTGCTGTTGGGTATACGACAAAATGAGTGCCTACGAAACCATATAGCTTTGGCCTATTATTCAACTCTTGGCATCAAAACAAAACCCAATGCTACAACCAAAGCTCTGCGTGAAATCTGTGCAATGTAGTTTATTAACCGCGACAGGGTTGTGTCTTTGGAACATTGGTACTCAATGCAAGCGAAAAACACTAGTAAGGCTGATCTGATCTTGACCACGATCTCACGTTGTTTAAACTTTTCTTTATGCAGCTTATGAAACCAATCAAGTTTTTACCACGGTTTCTCCAATCTTCTTTGGCAGTTTCGGAGAGGTCTTGCAAACAAGACGGTTTCGAAAACGTGTCCGACGGAGTTACGATGAGACGCATGGATACCCCAAAACACAAACTGGGCACAGACACGCAGCATATTCACATCACAGAAAACCAAGGTATATATTGGTTTTTTATTTTGCTGACAGAGCTATAAGTAATCGACAAACCAAAGCTGAAATTGAGTTCGAGATTTACATGCCTATATAAACTCACGAAACTGTTGTGGTAAACTCCATTCAGTCGTCCGTTCACCACATGTGAATCAGGAGCGTTTCTGTCCAGAGTCATTGCATTGTATTTGCCGTTGACCTGTAGCTGGATTTCCTTCTGTGAGAGGCTTGATAAAACACATCTTTTGAGAAGTTTTTATGCACATCTTGACGTCAGGTAAATCACCGTAAATCAACCCAAACCGAAACCACAATGACCAACACAAGGTCCATCAAACAAAGAAAATAAAATTTAAATGCTGAACATATGTGAGACATCGATTTTGATTGTTAATGTCTTATTCAGACACACCCGGGGAAGTCGATCTGCCTACTGTAAGCAGACCAAATAGCCACAAATCGAGATGTGACGGTCCAGTATCGACCATGCTTAACCCCATCAAGCAGCTACTGTCAGTGAGAGATAAGCGAAGTAATGAAACAAGAAAGTTATCGTTAAGCTTAATTGTAAAACATATTATTTTCCCGAGTTTGGACAAGTTGACATAAGGGCCTACTGACATGAACTTAACACACAAGGTTCAGTCTCTTGTGACAAAGGAGACTCTCTGCACTGTTAAGTCTTGATGTCATAACTCTGTCTTAATTACAGTCACCTGGAAGGGTGTTAACGTATATTACCCCCGTCACTGAATATCACATATCAGCGATATCTTGTGGTAATATCAATATACCATGCCCGGCCACAGTCCAAACCATAATGCAGGGACCTCTATATAGTCCCATCATCGGTGGTAAAACCTGTGGCTGCAATTGTTGATTTATTTGTTAATTGTTGGCTTATACAGTGTATAAACAGTATTTCATTTTTTTTCTGAGAACTTCCCGGAAACTTGCAGAAACACATGGATACCTTCCTCCAGACAAAGGTGATGTTATCCGGCACGTTCCACCGACAGAAACCGATAGAGCAACCCATCGAGTTTTACGCGTGTCGTTAGAATTCCTGTGCAGTAACCCACCGACACATTCGATTAAATTTGGAAACATTCAAATTAAACAAAATTTAAGAAGACTTTAAGAAAGAGATATAGCAGAACAACCATTGACTGATGTGATGCTGAAAGGATGCTCCAAAAATCACTAAATGTTAAAACATGCTGCTGTGGTTAATGTTAAACGGATGGTGTGATCCATTTCAACCGTATCGTTTGTCTTCTTCGTCAGATGACTTTGAAATGTTTGAGTATGTGACGTCTGACTACTCCATTGTAAAGAGTAATGACAGCGAGACCAGACCATACTGGACCCCCGAAGCTATGTCTACCCCTAGTTCAGGTGAAAGTATGAGAAAACAAAAAAAAAAAACAAAAACAAAACAAAAAAAACAAAAAAAAAACTGATGGAAAGATTATGCCGAGTAAATACAAATATAGAGTTTGGAGAATCAGAGCCCAGGCACTTTCACAATCTGTGTTTGAACCATTGCCTGTGCTTCACGAGCATAGCTGTGAGTGTATGATCGGTAGGAGTGGGACCCATGGTGAGGCATACCCTTGATCAGATTAGCAGTGCACTTTGATATCATGCAGTTATTTAAGACAGCAGAAAACTGAATGTCTACCTTTTGTTTCCTGTGACCTGTCACAGATGTGCCTTCTGGGGCGTATAACAAAACATCCGTTAGGTACTGGGAGGGAAGCTCCAAACATGAAAGTATGGAATCCTTTTCTTGTTCATATTTTATTCATCATGTTGTCATCATTTGTCCAAAATCTGTTTAAAAACCCTGAGTTTTTTCAGTTCTTCATACTTTACCATAATTCCCATCTAAAGACCCTGTACTTCTCTTTAATTAACTAACACAACTTGCCACTGATCCATGTATATAGTCGCCAAGTTTACTGAGACATTCGGTCTGTGTTGCCTTTTCACAGCTCAAAATGAACCGGTAGATCTTCCTGAGAAACGACCAGACATTCAAGGGACAGACATTGCAAATATTGAAGGTAAACGACTGGGAGAGAGGGTGGTTCATATCTGTTTTTCATCTTCGTCTCTGGCTTCTCCCATTTATGATACTCATATTGGCTGGCCCATGTAGTTCCCATGTACGAGTGCGCATGTTTTTCCCATAAGACAACCATGTGGGTAAGACAAGGTAATCCCCATGCAACTGTGCCCAGGTTTGTCCCACCATATGGGCAGTCCACGTTGTTCCCATGTAGGAGTGCCCATGTTTTTCCCTATGATACCCATGTGGATCGGCCCAGGTAGTTCCCATGTGGGCGTGCCCGTGTTTTTCCCATATGATAACCATATGGATAGACCCAGGTAATTCCCATGCAAGAGTGCCCAGGTTTGTCCCATCTGATACACATATGGGCCAGCCCAAGTAGTTCCCATGTGGGTGCGCCCAGGATTGGTCCATGTATACCCATGTGGATCAGCCTGGGATGTCCCCAGTTGGGTGTGCCTAGGTTTGTTTCATACGATACCCATATGGCCCGCCCACGAATTTCCCATATGGGCATGCTTGCATGTTCTCTTTTACTACAAAGGTCGATCAGCCCATGTAGTTCCCATGTGAGTATGCCCAGGTATGTTCCATATCATTCCCAGACGGGCTAGCCCAAGTGGCTCCCGTGTGGGTGTGCCCGTGTTTCCCCATATGTTACCCCTGTTGATCGGCCCAGGTAGCTCCCATGTGAGTGTGGCGAGGTTAATTCCATACGATTCCCACATGGGACAGCCCACGTAGTTCCCATAGGGGTTTTCCAATATTTTGTCCCATATACTACCCATGTGCATCGGTCCAGGTATTTTCCATGTGGATGTGCCCATGTTGGTCCCATATAATACCCATGCGGATCGCCCGGGTATATTCCATTTGGATGTGCCCACGTTTCCCCTGTATGATATCGACATGAGCTGGCCCACGTAGTTCTTATGTGGGTGTGCCCATGTTTTTTCCTGTACGACACCTATATGGGTCGACCCATGTGGAATTTCGTATGGGGTTTCCCGCGATTGACCCATATGAGACCCAAATGGGTCATCCCATGTAGATCCTGATATGGGAAATCCCATATCTGACCTACGTGGGATAAGCATGGGCTATCCCCCTTTCCCGTTTACTGCTGTTTACTGCTTTTAATGTTTTTACTGCTTTTTAGTTTGTTTTGCTTGTTTTTTTCAGAACCCTTTTTAGAATATTAATCGCATTCAGTTGTAACTTAGCCACAACCTGTCCCGTTAGGTATGGCCTTAAAGTATAAAAGCCCTTATGTGACCATCAAAGAAGTGGACGGTCATTTTGTGTGTTGATGATTGTTTTCAAATTGCGGCCTTTTTATTCCAAAGTGTTACAATATGAGAGTTCTAGCTTCAGGACCTGTTGAGGATACCTTGGACAGGCATATCATTATGATTGAAATGTTAGAATTCATTTCATTTTGTCGCCAAAATGAAAAAGTAAGAACATTATTGGCCCTGCAAGTGCGAGTTAACACCCTCTGATAACACCTCGCCCCGCCCCCTAAGCCAAACCCAGTTGCCTTAGATGCATGATCCCTCATATTAGTATCACGCCAAGACTAAGCACCGTTCCACTGCCGTGCCGAGCTTAATTCAAATGAGTGAGGCTATAGCAGGGCAATAGCTTGGTAATTGTGCCAAACGTCAAACTTAACGGAGCGTCCAGCCACTTTCATTTTAAACGACGACAGTGCAGCGTAATAATGACAGTGTGGCCTACACCGTCAAGCTAAAGGGCTTGTAGTGCCCAATTCAATTTGCCTAAGCGAATAACTCTAAACGACGCAAAAAAAAATGGAATCATTTGAGTTTGGCACGGCAGTAACATTATGTATACCCTTGGCCTTAGAAATGTACTATTTTATGCATTGAAGCCCCACGAACGGCCACGGTATAACACTGTGTAGGAAGGAGGTAATTTGTAACTACCAGGTAATTTCCAAGCACAAATGAACCTGTACGGCTGTTTTATGGCTGCCAATACATCCTTCAGGTACCCTTTCTAACTACATTTTATTATGCTGCTCTGGAAGAACAGCAATAACCCAGTCAGCACATGTCTGTAAGCAATGAGATCCAGTCTCTGAAAGCAACCATATGCGCCCCTAGGGGATACTGATCTTTCAACAGTCCGTACTCTGCAGTGGTTGGTAGTAGCATAGAGCTACAAACCTATAGTAGTAGGTTAATGGGACTTGGCAGTTTTTGAAACACACTGGTAGCCCGAGGGTTACAAGAAATTTAAGCTGAACCTCGGAGGAAAAATGTCCTTCCTCCATGGCTAAACTCAGCGAAAAATAAAAAGTTATTCAACAGATTACGATAATTCGGCAGTTTCAAATGTAAATCTACTAGAAATCAAATCATGCTGGTTTGTGCTATCACAAGCTCATTACAAAACACGACCTTGTGCATTTGTAACTTAGCAGTAAACATACAGCTGCGTGGAAGCTGACAGGTAATCATCATGTTATTAAACGTTGCTTTTCAGAGCCATGGCAACAACGACCTATCGGGGATTGTTTTGTCGTCTCCAAGGGCAACAGCCAACATATAGAGCGCGGCAAAGGCGAAGCAGGAAAGCAACAACGACCCGCGAAAATATGGAGATACTAGTGCGGATTATTGGTGTTTGTCACAGACAGATCGTCTGCACTACAACGTATATTTGAGCTTAAAAATCTAGCTAGGCCAGAGTGTTAAAGTTGATTTACAAGTTTAGCCCTACTCTACAAAACACGATAGCACTAGGGGAACAAATGATTGGGTGTCGCATAAACTTGTCCTTGCAGGCTTACGTAAGCTAGACCTACTGTCTGTTTCCCTCGTTTTACACCACCTCTCCTTCAGATTTTTGTGGGGTAATTTGTGGGATATTTTCATGATTTGTAGTAAATTGTTGGCACCAGTTTGGACTAACTATTCACTCAAACAGGAAAATTCCTGTAGACTACGAACACGTCCAATTCGTCAACGGTAGTATAAAACTGAAATTACGACTAATTGCTCAATCAACTTGAATGAAGATTGAAGTTCTAGCTTTGCATAAAAAAGTAGTTTGTTTATGCACCGAATAATTGTTGCTATAATGAAACCGGTCAAATAACCTATGCGTTACTTTTATTTCCTTTTGGATTTGTGTTTATACATGTTCCTGTTATAAACCCGAATACTTTATAAAAGTACACGTATTTTGAAGACTTTTAGCACCAGTGATGATTAAAGATGTCTCAGTATAAAGTATATCAATATACCCAGAAATATTATACATCCACTCTTTTTAACGAATTCCCGTTTCTGACCGAATTCCAGTAGCCTGAGTTGATACCATGAAATCTACAAATAGTCTCTATTTCAAACTGGGCATTGAGATAATAAACCAATAATAACATTGGGAATATTATTTTATTATAGTGATAGAAACACACTTAATTTCAATCTTAATTAATAATCTTGCAGTAGCTAAATAAGTGATTGAATTTGTGCATAGTCAGTGATGCTGTTTCTTTGTTTAAAACCATTAAAGTTTCCATAACATCAAAAATTGATTCCATGCAAAAGTGGAGTAAATAAGCAGTTTCTGCTCATTGGGTGTAAAGTTTTCAATGCCTGCACCGCAATATAATTTTACCAATACAGCATGATACTATAGGCTGGCATGACATTTATTTTCTCGGTAATTGAAGCTATCATTTATTACCCATGCGTGACAGGCAATTATAGGCAAAGCTTTCCGTGGACAAGCATTTTGGTATCATTTTGAGAGTTAAATCGTCTGCCTTACGAAAGACCTCCTATCTATCAGAAATGGTCAACAACACGCTTTCTATAATATAGCCATTTGGTTGTATTAAATTACGGCTGTAAATTACTTTAGATTATTGGGTGCAGTTTTGCATATGATTCCTCTCATTGCTACATTGCTGCTTTAGAACAACAACAACGACAACAACGACAACAACGACAACACGACAACGACAGCAACGACAACAACAACAAACAACAACAGCAGCAACAACAATAACAACACAGCGGCTATTACACAACTAGATTCCCAGTTTCTGAGATGACACTTGCATCATTCGTGTCTCTGCCAAATTGCTACACTTAAAAAAATTAATTCAATTCTTGTAGCAGATGTTCTACTATTATTTGAAGTTAGAAATTATCCAATAATTTGTACCTGATTCTGGGGCAGGCTTAAACACACTTTTGTGTCTGTAATATCTGGCATTACCTTTCATTTAGGAAATCATAACTCTTTACCACTCCTGAACTATCAACAGTGCGTGACTCTGACGTATAAACTGTAACTGTGCAAAGTAAAAACGGTTTTGTCAGAATTTGTGTTTCTCAAGTAACAATGTCATCAGAAGATCCATGAATAACCAATTCACGCTTGACCTTCCACTTACTTAGCAAGATATTGGACGAAGGGGTACCCCTGTATATGTCCAATCCCAAACACACCCTAGAATATTGTTACCTAACACACCCCCACGCAGATGTCTGTAAAGAATTCCTGAGATCTGATCAAACATTGACCAACACAAAGGTTTGTGTGGTGTGTGTGAGTTTGTTTCTGTATTCAATTGGGGACCTTGAACAATAGCAGACGATTGACAGAGGGTCCCCGATTGACAACTGTGGACAAAACATATGGGTGGTCTTCTAAAAAAGTTGCAGGCAAATACACACTTATGTAAATGTGTGTATGGGGTGCTCTCCATCCCATATCTTGCTTCATTTAAATACACGTAATGTATTGTTTTCTAAGCCTCCTTATTCATGCATATTTATTTCGCTAAATGTACTTGCGTTAGAAAGAGAATAGCTAACGTCGGGAAGGTCACCTTCCGATGGTCGATGAATAAAAATTTAGTTGAGCTGGCTCTAATTTGTTTCAGCAAAGATTACATAAGACTAAAGAATTCGTACACGCAGGCCATTCCATTGAGTTGATTTTTTTACTAAACTGTAAAATTGTTAACATTTGTTTTGATCTTCTACATGCATTATTATTTTATTTACCTGGTGACCATCATGAAATAATATCTTTAACTTTTCATATGCAAACAAGAACACCAAATTGCAATAGTCGCCATGAACCTTACATTACCAGAAGTGAGAGTTCAGTCTTTTGCGAGATATTTCTCTTTCAAGTAAGGCCGGTTCTGAGTTTTATAAATAAATAAATATACTCTTTAACATTTCCAAAAAACCAGTTCGGAGGTACTTTTTGAAGACGTAAATGAACTAAAAATATTTGCAAATTAGATTTTTTTAAATTTTATTATCAGCAATTTTGGCAGCACACCACCAGGATCAAGTTTCACGCTCTATTACTTACTACAAACTCATTTATCACAACAATACCGTGCGGAAGCGTACTTAGGACATAAATGAATAAAGAATTGCCGGGCGGATTAGTATTTCGACTGGGCGATCTCTAACTCCGCCTGGGCTAAATAACTAATCCGCTAGGGCAAAGTACTAATCCACCTAGGCGAAAAACCAATCAGCCTGGGCGAAGTACGTATCTGCCCGGGCGAATAGCAGGCCAATATTTTTCCAGTGTTATCCTAAGTAAGCTTCCGTAGTACGGGTGGCTTTTTGCTTCTCATTGAGGAAACAGAGATAGAATGGCGAAGCTAGATCTCTCACTCACACTTATTGCTGTTTCCG